AGATTTAAACTTAAAAACTAGATTTAAAAAAAAAAACATATTTTACCTTGGAGATTGAAAGTTGCACTTCATTTAACCGGCAAAATTAAAATGTATGGGTCATTACGAGTGAATTTATCAAAATTATAAATTTTAATTTTTGCCTTTTTAATCTTTTTCTATTCTTGGTCCTTGGATAATCCTTTTGTTCACAAAAAAAAAAATATAATCCTTTTAAAAAAATATAACAAGAAAGATTTTCTTACATTTTTTCACTTTATCTTTCGAAGTAAATTTTGGGTGGATGCTATTAGATAAGCATCAAACAGAAAATCTTAAGTGACATAAGAAACTAGGATCATTTTTGCTGTAAAAGTAATCAATATTTATAAAGCGATTTTGACAAAGACGTAAACTTATGAACAAAAAAAATTTCCAACAAGTATGCACAACAATATTTCTAGAAAATACTTTAAATTTTTACGAAATGGATTTTTGGTCTCTAATGCAAAAAAAAAGTTTTGGTCTCTAATGCTAAAAAAAAATTGGGTCCCAATATAACATATATTACCAAAAAATCCTAAATTTGACATGATTTAAATTTAAAAAAAAAAAACCAAAATCATGACCGTATTTTTGCAATTATGGGTGAAAAAAGTAAATGGGTCTTGTGCAAAAATGCACACCCAGCACATACACAGGGTCGGATCTGTGCCTAGTGATAAGTTCGTCACACAAAAGAGTTAGTTTTTTCATCTCTGGTTTAATCCTCTTTTAGAACAGAGGGTTAATTCTTTAAACCACAATATCTAAAGTCTGACTCCAAGTAGTAGGAAAAATTATTAGTCGAATCCCATGCCCTTATTTCCCATAATTGGCTATTAAAAAATAAACTTAATTATATTGACTAGAACTAAAGATGAACTACAACTATTGAAAAAAAAAAGTTTATAATCCTCTATATATTAAAGGAGAAGTATTTTTGGATTAATTTGCTTAGGTGTCAAGCTCTCAATTTTTTAAAAATTTTTAGTTAAGAACTAAATCTTATTATTAATTCTCTATTACCCAAACACTCCACAATCACACAATCCTTCCAACCAAAATATTTTTTTTGATTTGTTTAAAAAATGAAAATAAAAGAAAGTTTACTACTAATATTCACTTACTCTTATAATTTACCTTAAACCTATAAAATTCAATTCATATTTGTAATATTTTATTTTGTATATTTGATCCATAAACCATATTTTTGAAGATTATGATATTAAATAAATACATTTNATTAATAAGTGATATATATCGACTAAAAACTAAAAATTTGTTGGTTTCAATTGTTTCATGGGTGGAATACATTTTTATACAAAATAATTGCAAAACTCATATATATAAACGAGTTTTACATTTCGTATAA